AAAAAAAAAAAAAAAAAAAAAAAAAAAGAGCAGTCTAGATCATTTACTTTACAAAATTGAGGAAGAATAAATGGTACATATTTAAAGAGTATAATTTGATGAGTTTTGGCATGCATACACGACGAAACCATTATCACAATCAAGAAAATGGGCATATCCATCATTCTCAAATTTCTCCCATCATTTTTCTTCCTAGACAACCAATGATGTGCTCTTTCTGTTACTACAGATTAGGGTTTGCATCTTCTAAAATTTTGTATAAATGGAAACAGACCATACTACTTTTTGTCTGGCTTATTTTTTGCTTCATAATGATTATGAAAATCACTTATGTTAGTTTCTTTGTTGCAATTTTCCCCCGATTTCTATGTTGTATTTTATTGTGTGAATATACAACAGTGATTTTATTCATTCACACAAAACACTTGGGTTGTTTCTAGCTTTTGCTACTACAAATAGAGCTGCTATAAATATTCTTATGTAAGTCTTTGTATGGAAAAAAGTTTTTATTTCTCTTGGGTAAATACCTAGGAGAGGCATTGCTAGCTTATTTGGTAGGCATGGATTTTGACACTTTAGGAAACTACTAATCTGTTTTCCAAAGTGTTTGTACCATTTAATGTCCTTATCAGCAGCATACTGGGGGGGACCCAAAAAACGCTGGAATTTATTCATGAAAAATTGTGTGTTTATTCTCACATGTTTTAACTTGTCACCTTCAAAGTACTCTCTGTTTGATGCAGTACACCTATCAAGATGCATTGTGCACTGCTCAAAACAGTTTTTGAACTCATCAATTTTGATGACTTTTGGTGCTTCTGCTGTTTTTTTTTCCCCACTTCTTCCACATCAACAGAACGTTTCCCTTTGAGGACTTTTTTTCATTCAGGGAAACAAACAAACAAAAGTTGGTAAGAGCAAGACTGGGTGAATAGGAAGGGTGGGCATGGGGTCATGTCATTTTTGGTCAAAAACTGCTGGTAGTGTGGACAGGTGCGCTTGTAAATCACCCAACATAAAATGGGCAAACATGTTGAAAGAATCTAAAAAAGAAAAAATTCACTGAAGCCGAATGCAGCCTCCTACAATGCCAGCTGGTACACTGGTGCTGATGGGTTCCTAGAACATGTACCTACTGGGGAAGGCCTTTACTACAAGGGACCTGCTCTCCAAAAAATTATTCCTTTTTTTTTTCTTGTCTCCCCTTCATATGAGAGCTACATTTGCTCCCTTGTGCCAACATTTGGTATGACTTGTTTTTTTTTAATTTTAGTGATTTTATTTGGTATGGTGTTTATTTCATTTACCTTTTGTCCATATAGATATTTTAAGAAAGGAAAAAAACCATATTAAAATTGTGATGTACAATATATACCAGTAACAAAAGATGAATACAAGTCATGTTTGACTTACGAAATTACAGGACGTGCTCAAAGTGGTTATCATCAGTGTTCAGACACTTCTGATTATGGTGAACTAAAAGTAATGTATAGATAACAGATCTTAAAATGTGTATACTTTTTTTGGCACCCGTGTGTGTGTGTGTGTGTGTGTGTGTGTGTATACTAAAAACTAAAAGTCAACACAGAGACTGGGAGAAAATATTTGTACCACATCTATCAGTCAAGGGCTTGTTTCAGAATTAGGAGACAACTAAATTTTTTTAACTGGTCCAAATTTTTTAGAAGAAATTTCACAAAAGAAGATATGTATATGAAGATAAATATATATAGATATAGATATACGAAGGTATATGTGTATATGTGTGTGTGTGTGTGTGTGTCGTTTGTGTGTGTGTATGTGTGTGTGTGTGTGTGTGTGTCTGTGTTGACTTTTAGTTTTTTTAATGGTCTCCTTAGGAAAGTAAAAGTTTTTAATTTTGATGAAATTTTTTATCAATTTTTTCTTTTGTGAGTTATTTGCACTTTTTTGTTCTATGGAACTTTTGTCTTCCTAAGATTACTAAGATTTTCTCCTGCTTTCTTCTAGAAGTTTTAGGGTTTTAAATTTTAATTTGGGTTTGTGATCCATTTGGGTTAATTTTTTGTGTAGGATGTAAAGTATTATTCTTTTTTTTTTCATAGACAGATCTAGTTGTTTCAGTACCATTTATTTTCCAAAAGATTCTCCATTCCCCCATTAATGTGCCTTGACATTTTTGTCAAAAATTAGTCAGTTCTTAAACGTGTGGGGAAGATGACACAGAGTATATTTAAATACTTTGTCTACAAATCTCAGTGGCGTAGTTGAATAAATGAGTGGAACATGTATTTACATGGCTATGAATATCTTATTTTCATCAAATATAGCTTGCTTTTAATTATTTATGTATATTCCAAAATAAATAAAGCCATTTCCTTCAAGTCTAAAACCCCATGAATGATAACATCCACATTACAAAAACAGAAATCATCCTGCCCATCATTAAATATATATAGTTTTCTGGTGAAGACAAGCCTTGTTCCAGATATTTGAATTTGATCATGTCCAAAGGCTCCAGAATTTTCTTCAAATGCAAATACACTTGGAAGTAACGCATATAAACAAAACCCTTCAATTTTCCTTTAAAAATTCCAGACCGAAAATATTGATGAAATAATCATAATTCAGTGTTCTAAATTAGGAGTGTCAAATAAACCAATATTTAATTCTGTGACAAAGAGAAAAATATGAAAAAGAAAACTCAGTGGCTATGAAAATAGAGATCTAAAATTTTAATGATTTAAAAAATAGCCTCTACATACAAGATGACAAAGAGAGTAATACAGGTTGAACATTTTGGTTTTGAAAATGTGAAATGTCACCACTTAGTTTAGATCAAGTCTGCCATCTCCTAAGAAACACACATTATACAATGAAATCTATAAGGACATACTTTTTAACTTCAAGTGTTGTTGATTTTCAGCAGCCCCTTTCCTCCACATATATTTCTTTATAATAATGCAACTTTTAATCTTCTTTTGGCAGAGCAGAATTTCGAGAATTACAATAGCAGTTTAGAAAAGCACCTTGTATAAGAATTTATTTCCACTGATTTCTTATCACACTGAGATCATGAATTCTTCTTTTTTATTTCTGTTGCAATGATTTGCTTGTTCAAAACAAGCAAGTTTAATTCAGTCAAGGCATATTATTTCCAAGTAGGCTGGAATAAAGCCAATAAATAAGAATTGAACTGAAAGCCCACAGATAACATGCCTCTTGACTTGGTAATATGTGAATACATTTACCCACTGGGTAGGAAGTATTTCATTTGCCCTATGAAAAATCTGATGTCAGTGTCTGTACTGCATCAACACCAGCAGTGAGAAGAGACAGACTATGATGAGCTGTGATATGGTGGTGGGGTTTATACACAAGGTTATTGTCACAAGAAATTATGAAAATTAGATGGACTTTGTTGGCTAATTGCTCTGAATATCAGATCTGTGTGTGCGAGTTTTCAAGAGGTCACAAGACCAACAATAACATATCTTAGATAGCAGAATATGGCCTGGTGGTTCTAAAGTTCAGTGATTAAGGACTGGCCAGTTTTCCTCAGGTAATGGGGATAGTAGCACATAAGTGAATGTTAAGATTCAGAGAAGCCTCAACTTACAAGTGCAAGATGGGTTTATTTCTTCTTTTTTGTGGACAATCATAGTCTGATATGAAAGTTTGATAGATCTTTGTAAACACTTGCTGCAAACAATATTTTGGTTTTCTTTTGTTTTTTGTTTTTGAGTCACAGTCTCACATCTCACTCTGTTGCTCAGGCTGTAGTGCAGTGACATAATCACTGCTCACTGCAGCCTTTATGTCCTGAGCCCATGTGATCCTTCTGCCTCAGCCTCCTAAGTAGCTGGGACTACAGGTGCATGCCACCATTGCCAGGCTGATTTTTTTTTTTTTTGTGGAGACAATGTCTCGCTATGTTGTCTAGGTTGGTCTTGAACTCCTGGGTTCAAATAATCCTCTTGCTTCAGTCTCCCAAAGTGCTGGGATTCTAGGTGCAAGCCACTACCCCTGTCCAACAATATGGTTTTTACAACTCTAAAAACATTCTTTGAAAACGTCATGGCTGAATCACTCATAAATGTAGAAGATCAAATAGTCCCAGGGAGACAAGTACTCTCCTTTTATGGTAGCTTTCTCTCAATGTTAAAACACCCAATTCTAACTGTGGACATGGCCTCTAGACACATGGGTCTCTCTTCTCTCCAGCATCTGAATATCAGAAATTGGATTAACATTTACTTTCTGAAATTTGCTCTACAAGAGGGCTTTTGGGCATTTGGCCATAATGTGTTTAAGACAGCCAATTTTGAAACGGGTTTCAATACAAGAGTAAGTCATACTATGCTTCATTATTTGGAGGTCAACACTTGCAAATATACCATGCTTCCTAGAGTTGGGAGTGCCAGGCTGAGAATCATCACTTAGACATGTAGAGCAATATTACAACCAGTGGGTATATTTTCTAAAAAAACAAAAACAAAAACAAAATGCAGCATTAGGAGGTGCTTACTAAGGTGCTTCTTAATTAATGTTTTTTAAATGGAATGTATTAGACAAACATCTACAAACACACATGAATACACAGGCAAACACAAGCACATGGGCAACTTCTGTACAGTTTATGTCTTAGATACTTATGTGTATACATAAGAACCACTCAGGGGGAAAAAAAGATTTCCCTCTCCAGCTCCCTGAATCTCTGAAAGTTGTCTAACCCATAATTTGTTAAAATATTTCATTTTCATATAAAATATCTACAAAAATAGATAACATTTACAAAAACCAGATAGTATTTCCAGTTTTCCTTAGTGACCTTGAGTTCAGTCCCCTCTTCCTCTTTTTCTTCTCAGAATGTTGCCATCTCCAGCAAAGAGCGCTTGAACAGCTGCGCATTTCTGGATAAGTCTGTCACTTGGTGCACCATCTCCTGCAGGGCTGGGGTGCTGGGGTAATGCAACGCGGCCATCTTGGTTGCCATGACTATGGTCTTGAGCTGTTCACAGAGTTGGTTGCTGGAATTCATCACTTTGTTGCGAATGTCCTGGGCAGCCACCTGCCTTGTCAGCGTGTCTCCAATGAACACCAGTTTGTGTGCGCTGAGGATGACGAATTTGCTATGTGCCACAAAGATTCGCGGAGGCTGGGCTGAGCTGACACAGCTAAAGAGTGCGTCAATGGCATTGAGAAGGGAGATGAAATGAGTCTCACATTGGTCATAGTAGAAGCAAAGCAACTGCCGATCCTGAGCACCCACGCTGCTGTTTGTGGTGGGCAGATTCTGAGAGGGCTTCCACTTTGAGATGTCATTCTCCACAGGCTTTGTAATTTCTTTTTCTAATAGCTGAAACTGACTCAGCTGCAATGAACACAAAAGTAGATCTCATTAGTGCAAGGAAGTGTGTTGCAATGGAAATTAACATGGGTTTGGAGCTAAAAGACAGGTATGTTATTAGCTGTGAGGCCTTGGTCCAGTTGCCTTGTTTTCCTAAACTGTAAAATATAGATGTTGGGCAAGATGATCCCAAAGGAATCCTCTACCTCAAACCTTCTATAATTGAACTGTCAGTCTCCTCTGCCCTCCTCAGCCCTGGTACAACTTAATGAAGGTTAAATGGGCTAATATTTACAGAGTGCTTAAAATAGTGTGTGGTATATCACAGGTTCTGTGTAAGTGTGTGTTAAACCTTGAGTGATGGCAAGGGAAAACCAAATGTAGTGATTTCCTTGTGAAGTAAATCACTGACAGTTTTTTCCTTCTTGGAGAGAGACTTGACTGTCTCAAGGTACTCAGATAAAATGACAACTCGTGATGCTTTTATATTTCTCCTACTCTGTCAAGACTTATAGATATGTTATAATCCAGCCCTACCAGGAAGACTAATGCATATAAGTATGTGTGCACTTGTGGAAAAGACCCCATTTCTAAGGAAATCTGAATGCTAATAGTGCATCATAATACTTAGCCCCTGCCGCCTCCAGAGCTGTTAAAAGAAAAGGGCCTTACCCAGAGTCACAGTCATCCCATGTTAGGTTTCTCTCTCCTTTCCTCATTGGTCCCAATGTGTATTATTTAAATTGTAATTACAATAATTTCTAGCTATTCCACTAAGACTCAGGAGAGGCTCCACTTTTACAGGTATGAACTATCTATGATCTGAACTTTGGACTCAGTTAATCTCCTTCCCTGAGGTAGGGTGAGTCAGAGCAGGGATAAGCTTACCCAGCTTCTCAGAGAAATGCACAGCCAGCTTTACTGTTCTATGAAATCTGCTTTCTTTCTAGGGAATTACTTTCATTTCAACAAGTTCCTTAAAGCTCTGAAGTCTTACTTGGCTGAATGCCAAGGCAAACATGAACAGATGCAGAATGATGTTCCAAGATATTTAATAATAATGAATTATATTTCATATAGCTTATGCTTTTGCAAATGTGTCCAACAATATATCATCTCAGTAGATTGGGAAGGGTACTTTCCTATTTTATAGATAAGTAATTGAAGCCCAGGAAGGTTATGTGACTTGACATGGTTGGTATTCAGAAAGCAAGAATTAGAATTCAGATTTCCTGAATACTACATGCCATTTCATATTCATTTCATTTAATTTCATCTTTAAAAGCTTGTAAATCCTCAATTCATTTATCTTTATTGTATTCCCTTGTCCTAGCATGACCAATCATTATCTGCCCTACTCATACTTGACTTTTGAATGTACACGCCATGCCCAAAGTCCTTGGTAAATGGGCTTGGATATATTTGAAAACATTGAATCCTGTCTTCATACCCTTAGATTGAACCAAGGATAGTCAAGCCATAGGCTTGTGTTGTTTGTTGGTGAGAGAGAGAGAGCGAGAGAGAGAGAGCCCAATCATACTCTCTTAGGAATCTGATGAACCACAGAAGGGAAGAAAGCTGAGAAGAAAAGCCATACATAGAAAGGACTTTGAGTGGCCCATTTATGTGTTCTGTAAAGTTACAGGGGAGTCAAATGAGTAGGTAAGCAGAGAAAATATCAGAAAATAGGAGAGAATGAAGCAGACTTACAGACAAGCAAAGGAAGTACATGAAAAAGAGATAATTTATAGTACTAGTACTCACCAGACTTGGTTATATCTTCAATTTCTGTTTTTGAATTATTCTACAATGGTTTTACTATAAAACCCATTTGCTTGGGCTAAATTAATTAGGTCTTGTTTGTTGTTGTTGTTTATTTTGAGTTGAGGTCTTTGTCTCCCAGGCTGGAATGCAGTAGCATGATTCTGGCTCACTACAGCCTCCTCCTGGGCTCCATTTCATTCTCCTAAGTAGCTGGGACTACAGGTGAACACCACTACATTCAGCTTTTTTTTTTTTTAATTTTAATTTTTGTAGAGATGAGGCCTCACTATGCTGCCCAGGCTGGTGCCTACCTCCTGGGCTCAAGTGATTCTCCTGCCTTGGCCTCCCAAAGAGCTGGGATTACAGGCATGAATCACCACATCTGGCCCAAGTGGGTCTTTGTTTTTTGAGACCAAAAACTTTAACCCAAATAGTCCAAATATATCAAATATGCAGACTTAGCCTTAAAAAATTGCCATTTAGATGTAATCTAGGTGCACCCAGATGGATTAGCAAGGTCATAAACCTTCTCTTTGCGCTTATATTCTATTATATGCTTTGGAGCCTATTTATGCCAGTAAGCTGAAAGGATCAAAATCATAATTGTTTGAAATTGTACCTTCCCTGCTCTGTGGGAAATCTTTTCAACACCAAGCTATTTTGGCTCTGCTTGAACCTACCTGATGATGTTCCAGCTGCATCTTGTTCTGTTTGATGATGTTCTCTTTTTCCAATAGCTCTTTCTGTTGCCTCTCAAACTCCTCCTTACCCTGTTATTTTTCAACATAAAGAACACATTATGTCATCACTGTGATTCACTTATGCCAACAATTTCATTGACAAATACATAAATACTCTTTCATTTCCCACTGCCTTGGCAATTCCCCAAATACCCAATCAGGCCCTGTGAACCCCAGACAGGGATGACATGCTTTTCCACCAGACTTCCAGAGTCACTGTGTAGGTTGAATCTGAAAAATAAAGCCTATTTCCATGTGAGGTGTCATGCTTTCTGCTCCACTTTACCATTTTTCAGAGAGCTATCAATGATCCCATACGAACTCCCTAAAAAGTATTATTTCTCAGAGTTCTTTTTTTTAACAGATATGTGAATCCATAAATGTCCAAACAGATATAAAACATGGTCTACATTTCATTTCTAGTTTCTTAAATCATCTATAGATCTCTATTCCAAATCAATATTTCCCAATATACAGAGTTGGACAACCAGTGAGGTGTTTGAATATTGAATATCTCCATTCACTCTCTCCCTACATCCTTCCTTGACACCAGGTGAGACTCAGTTCTCCCTTGCACTCTCACTTGAACTCAAGGGGATTTGGTAGTTTAATAGTTCTTAGTATAATCTGTGGCTCTCAGTCAAATTGAAAGGAAGGCAGAATTAAGGTAGTAAGCCTTGGCTGAATGTGGTGGCTCAAGACTGTAATCCCAGCACTTTGGGAGACTGAGGCGAGAGGATTGCCTGAGCCCGGGGCTTCAAGACCAGCCTGGGTAACTTGGTGAGACCTCGTCTCCACAATAAATCAAAAAATTAGCCGGGCATGGTGACACATGCCTGTAGTTCCAGTTACTTGGAAGGATCACCTGAGCCCAGCAGGTAGAGACTGTGATGGCCATAAGCAAGCCACTGCACTCCAGCCTGGGCAACAGAGTGAGACTCCAACTCAAAAAAAAAAGATAGTAAGCTCAATTCTAAATAGTGGATCTTGGTAGAGATCCATTCCTCAAAGTGGAAGGGAAAGCTATCAGAATTCCAAGTCAACTTGGAACTTGGTGGAATTCCCACTTGCAGGAGGCCAACTGTGACTGTCCAATGTCTCACACACAAATCAAGCTCTAGGCCAATTGGCCAAGGCACAGTGGAAATCTATCTGAGATGGGATTAAGTTTGTAAGCAATTTTACAACAGACAACCTAACACACACACACACACACACACACACACACACACAGACACACACACACAGTAGATCTATAAGAGATTTTAGAAATTCTCTAGTGCAGAGGTTTTCAACTTTTTTTAACAGTGAAACAATTTTTTAAAAATAAAGTATTATGTGAAACTATCATAAATTATAAAGAGAGTGGAACTAATATTATTACTAGAGGACCTACTAACCTACTTGATAAGTCTCCTGCTTGCCTGAGGCATATCAATGGGATCAAATCGAACCTGCACTTCACTCATTTTGCAAATGAAGACATTTAGGCCCCGGGGAGGTTAAATAAGAGGTAACATAATAAGTGTCGAAGAAAGTGTCTAGTCTAGAGCCAAGGGCTCCAGGCTCTCAGTCCTGTGTTTTTGCTACTGTATAACATCATCTTCAATTTGTGGATCACTCGGATTAACATTGGTTATGCTCTCTCCTTTCACAGTCCAGCCTGACAGCCTTATAGGTACTAGCCTTGGCTCCCTGCATATGAGTACAGGTGTTTCAAAAGTCTGGCTTTCTTACCTGTAGGTGGACATAATCGTAGTCATCCATCCAGCTCCTCTCAGAACCATCACTGCTGCTACAGTCAGTGGCTTGGTCCTTGCCCAGGTTTGGGGGCAGTGGCTTGTTGTGGGCCTGGGCCTTGCGGTCACCAGGATGCAGCAGCTGCATCTGGGAGCCACCATGTGGATACTCTGTCGAGTTCATGATGCTCTCGGGCCCATTCTTTAGATGCAAGCTGCTGGGGCCTGGTCTGAAGAGGATCTCTGCATTGGTGTGGATAGTTGTGGTGAGCTGCTTGGCATCATCAGGCACTGTCTTTGCCACCATTACAAACCGGTCCAGATCATCACACTTGTTCTGGGGTTTGTTGATGGCCAGGATATTCAGGGACCAGTTGCACTCATTTAAGTCATGGCTGGTTTGACTTAGAATCTGGTGGGAGTCCTCCACTCGTTGGAGCTCCCGCTTCATTTTGTTATGGAGGATGAGTTCTGGGAGGCAGGAAGCATTTGCTACAGCTCCCTTGGCAAAATGGAGGTACTCCCTCAGGAACAGCTCCACTTTGTCCACCGCAGTGCGGATCTCATTGATATGTCTCTCCATGTATCCATAACATCGCCAGTCGGTGGTGACCAGCACTATTAGGCTGGAGACACCCATCTCCAGGGCCTGCTGGAGCCGCTGAAGTCTCTCGATAGCAGTGTCTGGATCCAGTAAGAGCCTTTTGTCCTGAGCTGTAGAGGCTGATAATGAGGACTCCTTGGAAGAGGTGGAAGACGTGGACATGTTGCTCCTGGTGCTGCCGGTACTGGAGAAAGACAGTCGGTTGATCCCATCCACCACGTCCTGAGAGCCTTTAGCATCTGGTGGGTTATGTAGAGGGACATCATAAACACCATCTCTTTCTTCAGGGTTTGCTTTCTCACTGGTTTCTGCCGGTGGTTCAAGAAACTGAACTCCTCGGGGGACGTCGTACGCATCATTCTGAGTGCCCACCGACTGTCCCAGCTGTGGGGGTGAATGGTTCAGGGCAAGGCTCTGGTGCCTTCTCCCCACTGGTTCCACAGCTCCTGGAACGTCACAGTTATATTTTATGTGACGGTCCTTCCCCACCGACTTGGCACCAGTTGGAGGAATGTCATAAACCCCCTCGGGTCTGAGGTCTGGCCTTCCAGTTTGTTTCATGGGAGGGGGGAAGTCATAGTCTTTTTCCCTAAGTGCTGCCTCATCTCGGCAAGTAGAGGGTGGAATGGTATATACCTGAAAAGTAAGTAGAAAGCAAATCATTCCTTTTTCAATTGACTCAGGGGAACCTGCAGAAACTGCCAGTCCAAAACACGCATCCCAGAATCTTCAGTCCTGTTTGCCAGATCCTTCTCTCCCACCCTTTACCCACAAATGGCTAGCATTTCCAAAGGCTCTCCTCTGTGCAGTTCTCACTTCCCTCATCCCTTGACAAGTGTGTCCACTCTCATGTTCTTGGTGCTGACTCAAATGTGGAGCCCTCCTGGCTAAGTTACTTGCCGCTGGGTTGCAGTCCCATGTTTCTGATCACCTCCTGGGTATCCTTTCTCAGCTGATCTGTGCTGAGAGGCAGATTATGCAGTAACATACTGGACTGGGTATCAGATGACCTGAGGTCTCTCCCTGGTCATCATATCATCTGTGTGAGGCTGAATGTGTTGCTTAGGTGTTCTGAGACATAGTCCCCTTATCTATAAAATAAGGGTAACTGCTGTCCTGTGCAGATGTACCCCAGGAAGTAGCAGGGTGAGTCAAACAACCCATACATGTGGACTGAGTAAACTCTAAAACCCCCCATAAATCTGAGCTCTATTAGTATGTGCCAAACTGAACTAATTATCTTCCCTTCCAAATGACTTTCCTTATTGATCTCTTTTTTTTCTTTTTGGCTGGGAGCCCCTGAATATGGAATCCTTAGGATTATCTTTAATTACTTCTTTTCTTCCTTGCTTCCTTTGTTTACTCTTTCATCAAGACTACTTTTCCCAAAGTCAGGCTCGGTGCCTCAGCCTGTAATCCCGCGCCTTTGGGAGGCTGAGGTGAGTGGACTGCCTGAGCCCGCGGGTTCGAGACCCGCCTGGCCAACTTGGCGAGACCGCATCTCTACAATAAATCAAAAATTAGCCGGACGTGGTGGTGCGTGCCTGTAGTTCCAGCTACTTGGAAGGCTGAGGCGGAAGGATCACCGGAGCCCAGCAAATGGAGGCTGCGGCCTCCAGTCTGGGCGACAGAGTGAGACTCCAACTCAAAACAAACAAACAAACAAAGACTACTTTTCCCCCTTTGGGTTCACTCTTCTTGTTTTGTTTTTTGGGTTTTTTTTGAGTTGGAGTCTCACTCCATCGCCCAGACTGGAGTGCAGTGGCACGCTCCCGGCCACCGCAGCCTCCATTTGCTGGGCTCCGGCGATCCTTCCGCCTCAGCCTTCTGAATAGCCGGAATTACAGGCGAGTGCCACCACGCCCGGCTAGTTTTTTTTAAATTTATTGTAGAGATGAGGTCTCGTCAAGTTGCCCAGGCGGGTCTCGAACCCTCAGGCTCCCAAAGTGCTGGGATTACAGGCTGAACCACCGAGCTCAGCCTGCCCTTCTTGTTTTATCCAGGAAAACTCACACACACTCACTCACTGCATTTTGCTGCCTTGTAGTAGCTCACTTACCCCTTTAGTAGGAGGGATGTCATACACCCCTTGAGGTTTTATTTCTCCCACTGGAACTGAAAACACAGGCCCTTTCACTGATGAGGGAGGGATGTCATATACCTGAAGAAAAACACTTGAGTTACTTATAGATCTATTTACCAGGTTATATACTGGCTTGATCTCTGGCAGCATTCCATGATATAAAGGGTTGATGGAATTTTTTTTTTTTTAGTTGGAGTCTCACTCTGTTGCCCAGACTGGAGTGCAGTGGCCGCTCCCGGCCACCGCAGCCTCGACCTGCTGGGCTCTGTCGATCCTTCCGCCTCAGCCTTCTGAGTAGCGGGAATTACAGGCATGCGCTACCACGCCCGGCTGATTTTTTGATTTATTGTAAAGATGAGGTCTTGCTGCCCAGGCGGGTCTCGAACCCGCGGACTCAGGCAATCCACTCACCTCAGCCTCCCAAAGGCGCGGGATTACAGGCTGAGCCACCGAGCCCGGCTGGAATTTTTACTTATAAGTTTTATGTTCTTTGACTTAGATTGAACATAAAAATAATCTTAAATGAAATACCTATACTGCCTGTACTTTAAAATGTAAATTAAGTTTTGTTCTTTCTGAAGTAAAGTGACAAGGCAACAAAAGCTTTCTCAGGTAAAGAGTAGGATTTCCTGATAAAGCAAATTCAGAAAACAATTTAAATAACATTGAATAAAATGGCTACTGGGTAGACAACCTAATAAAGCTTCATATGAAATATAATTTGTAAACTTCCTTTCCTCTACAGCCATGAAGGAATGCTCAGAACACCTCTCCCCTGTGACCACATTCTGAAACGTACCCCTTGAGTCGTATGGGAAGGAGGGATGTCATAGACGTCCTTTTGGTATCGGGATGGGTATTCATATACATAGCCATGGCCTGTCCTCACTGGGGTTATCACCTGTGGGTGAGAAGACAGAGTGTAAAATTCTAAACTCACATCCTTGGGGAGTCTCCTAACCTCCTAATCAGATACTCATTCCTCATCTCTCCTGCATAAAAAGAAAGAAATAAACTGAAGAGAAAATAAATGAGATAAGAAGATAACAGAAAACTTTAAAACCCTCTTGAATCCCACCCAATGAGGAACAAGTCGCTGAAATATCTCTATTACTCTTCCTCATGGTAACAAAATCAAGCTGGGCTCGGTGGCTCAGCCTGTAATCCTGTGCCTTTGGGAGGCTGAGGTGAGTGGATTGCCTGAGCCCGCAGGTTTGAGACCCGCCGGGGCAACTTGGCGAGCCCTCATCTCTACAATCAATCAAGAAATCAGCCGGGCGTGATAGCGCGCGCCTGTAGTTCCAGCTACTTGGAAGGCTGAGGCGGAAGGATCGCCGGAGCCCACCAAGTCGGGGCTGTGGTGGCCGGGTGCGGCCACTACACTCCAGTCTGGGCGACAGAGTGAGACTCCAACTCAAAAAAAAAAAAAAAAAAAATCAGCTCAAAGTTAATCACATAGAACTGATAAACTCAAAACATATTCCCAAAATATACTTTAAAGGACTTGTTTTTAAATCACAAAAGACCTAGATGATCTCTTTGAAGCATCAAAATGCAGCATACTGAAATTTTTTTTAAAAAGGCTCTGAAACTATCTGTAAACTGAATAATGCCATAGAGTTCAGCCACTTAAAATATCTCACATACCTTTCCCAGTATGCCTCTTCATTTGACATTATTATTATGATTACAGTGGAAATTCCATGGGCCACAGTACTTTACAAAGCCAATGCTCAAACAGTGCTGTCCTTAAAAGCTTCTAGGAGCTTTCAATCTCACTTATGAAATAAACAATATTCTGAGTCAGAGAGCCACCAGGAACAGAGTTCAGGGCTCCTGACCTCTAGTCTCTAATCATTTTCCCATTTCCACCAGGAAAGAAACTATCCCTGATAGTACCTACATCCAAGGCATATCAGAAGTCAAATACACTCATCATAACTGGCATCTGGAACCAATGTCAGTGAAATGAATCTCACCAGACAGGCTCCTGTTTTATTACCTACATTCTTCATTGGTATGCTGAGCACCAGTAGAAAACTCATTTGCTTAACTCATTTTGAAATATATTTAATCCTCCAAGGGCTTCTAAATTGCCAGGGTCTTGCTTCTGCTTAATTCCCACCTCTTCACCCCTTAATCACTAACAGTGCCCACCTCAAGTATTACCCGCGACATCTTTGGAGAGAACAGACATTACAAATTAGGAAGAGCTGGTTGTTCCTTGAGAAACCATCACATTTTATCCATTCTCTGATGTGAAAACTCTGGCGTCAGGCTGCCTACAAAACTATGTAAAAAATGTTCTGCATCCGTCTTATGCTGAAATTGGTGGAACTCAGCCAAATGTGCCCCTCTCCAGGGGCTCTAAGATGCCCTAGTTCAATTTGGTTTTAAATCCCTAGTGCTTACAATGGATTATTTCTTGTAATGAAGGTAAAAGAAATTAGCATGCAGTCGACATTTCCATCAAGTCTCTCCACTGTCTCGGGTTTAAAAAAGGAACCTATTGCTTTAAGGTTTGTTGGCCCAGAGCATACAGAGCCTTTTTTACAGAGTGGCCACTGTATTGTGCATGGCAGACTTTCCTTTTTAAAGCAGGGTGCCCTTTAGTAAGGAAAAACAGTGTTCCTAATGCCCTTATATGATTTTTTTTTTTCACTAACTATTCACCAGGAGAGAAATGAAGATCTTCTCTGAATCTATCTCATCAGCCCCTCTATTTATAGTGCTCTGTTTTGGCTTTATAATAGAACCTGCTCACAATGCAGTTTTTGTTCTATCCAAAGGTTTCTAAGAGTGGATTTTATCCATAGTTGCCAACTTAGTAATAATGCTAATGGAAAACCAAGGCTAGTTGTGCAGAAGTCCAGCTTAACTGTTCATCTTTTGTTTAAAAACAGGAGGGGGCAGGGAGGTAGAGAGGATGGTGTGGTGTCTGGAAATAGCACTAGGTGAATATAAACTCATGGCACGACCTCAGAGAAGGAAGACGGGTCATGGCCAAAACTCTTCCTTGCCTTTGTGGATTTTCCCTGGCAGAGAGCACTAATGCTTCCCGGTATTTGACATTTCACTTCCTGACCAATGTCACAGAACCCCAACTTGCTCTTTCGTTCTCATTTAGTGGATGCCTGTGGTCATCTGGTTTTCAAAAACTTTGCATTCCAAACCAGTCATTTTCCTTGTTTATGCATTCAAAGAAACAGATGGTGAAAACCACAGAGAGAAAAAGCCAACAAAATACAATCTCCCCCAATTCCAGCCTTCTTGATGTTACCATCTAATTCACATTGGTCCACAAGTGGCATTTAAATGGGACCGACTTTTTGCATCTGGCCAGACATGTCCAGGCCATACAACTATCAGCATTGTGACGTCTGGTAGACCAGGGAGCTGGAAGTCTTCTACTTTTGGACATTCTCCATCTCGACCCGTTTCTTGGGTCACTTTCATGCCAATTGTGTGTTCCCTCCTCGGAGAAAAGTGCTGACTGAGCTGTACCTTACAAAGTCTTCAGTTATGTGATTGATTAAACCTTTTTCTTCCTGCTTGACACAAAACCTTCCTACTATCTCTCCTCATTCTGCCTCCCAGAACTACTGAACCTCAGCCTAAGAGACACACCAAAGTCTGGCTAAGGTGAGCTCAAATTTGGAAGAATTCTCCTGGGTGTTTGTACTGTGGGCATTGAAGGAATTCTACACAATGGGCATTAAGCTAAATTTTCTCAATGAAATCCAGTCAGGTTTTTCATTTCCGTTCCTCCTCCATTTGTTTTTCTTTTCTGCATTCCTTTCATTCTATGCATTTATTTATGGTTATAAAGGCTTAGCCTTAGGAATTACCAAAGTGACCTCTTAATTCATGCCACGAAGGGGGCAAAATCGTAATGTTTCCTGGGGCTCTATGACCAAATGCTACTGCAACCGCTTCCTTGATTACCCGGAGGAGGATTTGCACTTTCCAAACATGGATTTTCTGTCCTGATGAGAAATCCAATGTTCCTCAGATGTTAGTATACCATTCTTGACAGAGGCGTCCCAAGACTCAGACTTTGAGAAGAGCTCGGAAGCGGAGAAGGGTAAACTGCATACATTTAGAAAGGGAAGATTGCATTTATGACCAAAAGTCCAAAGACTAGGGTTATATTAGTTCTCTAATTAATCTGCATGCATAAAAACAAGAAAACAACCTTGACTTGCCCCACCCCATACATTGATGGTGCTTGATCCACACCATGTTGAGCCTCCGATCCTGGCAGTATGAGCTGCCTTTGGAGATGCTTTGTAGATACTTCCATGGCTCATAATTTTGAAAGTCTTAAAAGCAAATCTTAAAGAAGAGAATCTGCATTTGGGTAGCAGGGGGACTGGGGAACACAGAGAACTAGCTTGTGGGAGAGGCAGAAAGTTGGAAGGGAGGCACTCGGAGTTCTTCACTCGGGTTTCCACATTTGGTTTCCCCAGGCTTGCCCCTGTAGTGGAGTAAGGGTCCTGCACTCAGAGGCTCACAGGGTGCAGGGGAGAAGTAAGCCAGGTTTTCATGCTGGGGAGACAGAACTCACATCCCACAGAAAGTAGGTTGATACTACATCTCATGTTGTCACCTCTTTCACATTTTCAGGAAAAGTCAGAAATCTGGATTTTTATGTAAAATATCCTGGTTTTCAAAATTGTTTCTAATTTTAAAAATAGGGTCTTGGCTAAACTAAACATATCTGGTCCCCAGGTTGTCAGTCTTCACCTTCACCTATGTGTTTCTGTCCCCTTTCCTCAGGGTTTAGACTGTCTCTGAAGGCAGGGCCCCCAAGCTCTCCACTAATTCCATACCTTGGCAAGACTGGGCTCCGGCGATCCTTCCGCCTCAGCCTTCCAAGTAGCTGGAATGACAGACACGCACCACCATGCCTGCTCCAGTTTTCACAGATGCCCTGTGTACCCAAACCTCCTGTCCCCTTATTCATGCTGTGTCTTCCTCTAAGAGTCTTCTCTTTCTTTCTTCATATTCAAATTCTATTTGATTTTCAAGATCAGGCTGAATGCCTTTTTCCTGTGAAGCCTTTTCCAGACAGATAAAATAGTTCCCTCCTCAGAACTCTCTGTATGTTATCCACTCCTCTCTAATGGTACTTATCACTTGTGGTTTGACTGTTTCAGTGCAACTCAACTTTACTCTTGGCATTATGGAGCTGGAGACCATTTCTTATTCATTTTGATGTAAACAGTAGGACTTAACACAGTGACTTGAATATAGTAGGTCTTAGATAAATGTATTGAGTGAATACATTAATGACCTAAAGGAAAACTCAAAGCTATTCTTTTTTTGTTTGTTTGTTTTTTTGAGTTGGAGTCTCACTCTGTCACCCAGACTGGAGGCCAGTGGCATGCTCCCAGCCATTGCAGTCTTGACCTGCTGGGCTCAGGTGATCCTTCTGCCTCGGCCTTCCAAGTAGCTGGAACTACAGACATGCACCACTATGCCTGGCTAATTTTTTAATTTATTGTAGAGATGAGGTCTCACCAAGTTGCCCAGGCTGGTCTCGAACCCGTGGGCTCAGGCAATCCTCTCACCTCAGCCTCCCAAAGTGCTGCAATTATAAGCATGAGCCACCACGTCTGGCCAAAACAGATTCTGTTCTTTTTTTTTTGAGTTGGAGTCTCACACCATCACTCAGGCTAGAGTGCAGTGGCACCTGTTGGGCTTAGGAGATCCTTCCACCTCAGCCTTCCACAGCTATTCTTAAATAAGATGGTGTGGAACTAGAGAAGGTATTAAACAATGGCTACCTATATAGAATAAGCTTAGTTTCCAGGTAAGCCAGCCCTAGGCTGAGTGGGACCCATGGGATAAAGGGCACAACTGTGCCTTAGCAACCATATATGGTAGCATTGGGCAATG